AGATCACTCTCTCTTAAAAAGTGTAGGAAGTTATGACATTGAAAATATAATAAGAATGTTTGTTCTACTGTACGCCGATTTCTGTAAATATATATTATTAAACTCTGCAGTATAAGAAGGAAAAGTGTAAGGAGAATCATAAAACATGATTCATCTTTCTTGTTGATAGGAAAACAATTTAAATAAACAAACAGGTATGGGAAAATCTCGTTAGTGGGTACTCCTTGATCACAAGAACTTCCAAGCACAAAACTGAGAAGGAAATGATCACTTATGAATTCTCTGGTACAAGGGAACTATCAAAGAATACATGCAATATGTGAAGAGCAGCGAAGTCTAATTGCTTCATGTAGCCCAGTCTGTCTTCCTCCAAGTGAGAATAAACGTTTGAGATCGAGTTAAGTTGATTAAGGGATTATCGAGAAAGGATCTCACCGGAGGATCACAAACACAGCATGTTAGGATATACCTCCCAGTTCATCTACCCTTAAGGCATCTTTGTGAAAAGGATAAATAAATAAAACAAATAGATAACTGATAAATTTTCTTTTTTCGTGGGACTAATTACTGTACCACATATCCACCTACTTTTAATTATTTTCAACTTATTTTATTATAACATTTTTATTATTATCTTTATTATCATTTTATTATATTTTATTATTATTATTATTTTATTATAACTTATTTTCAACTGCGTTCAGCTAAAAAAGAATTGAAAGCTTGCCGATGGCTTCAAACACCGCTTCTCCTTGGGAACTCCAATGACCGGCATCAGATAATAAAAAAAAAAAAATGAATAAAGAGAGGGTGGATAGTGGATAGTAATATAGTAAATGACAACTCGAATGGGCAGATTTACATCTCCTGTGTTATTTATAGTAACACAGGAACCGGACGAAGAAGTTTTAAAGTATTCTGGAAGTCGCTGATCCTCCACACCACGAACTCACCAGCAGCCGAAGCATCCACTCCCAAAAGAACTGGATAAGATTACTATGACGACACGAATATCAAAACATAGCGTCAGAGCGAAAAAAAAAGTTGCACGAAGGCTGCTGGAAGAAGAACCCTAACGTGACCTTGGTTCATTATGAAACGACCGTGTCAAGGTCATTAGAGGTCTTAAGACAGCTAGAGGGACTTAGTGGAGAGAAAGGAGACCTCTTTAATACGGGTACGGAACAAAGGTCAATTAGATGAATTAGCTAAATCCAGAGATTTAATTAGGGCACCTAATAGTAAAATTTTCTTCAGCTTTAGGGACAGCAAGGGGGGGGGGGGGACTCACTGTCGTTCTTGAGTAGGGCTTCCTCAGGACTTCTATTCTTGCGCAGGGAAATGGACCCCGTCGTATAGCTCTACCATAAGTCTGCTCAGTGGAATCATGACATTTCATATCGAGTATTTTGATAAGCTGAGGACATTCAAAATTGTCTGATTTTTTTTTCAGTAGGTTCTCTAGGCAGGGCACAGAATTAAAAAAAGAAAAGAAAAGAAAAGAAAAGAAAAACAGAATGAAAATATCCATCCCTGTCTTGAACATGGAAAGGATATTACTATAACAAAGAGATACAGAGCAATTTTCTTACCAGCTGCACCTACAAGCTAATAGAGAAAATGATAAACTCAAGTTACCACTCTGCCTTGAAAAAGAAAATATGCTGCCTCCATCAACCCCAATGTCAGTCTTCACCCGAGGAAAGACTGACACAGCCTAATATTATGCCTTTGCAGAGTGCTTTCACATGTTCAGTGTTATTTCACCTTTAGAGGCATGGCGGATACGTGAAACCGTATGATATTGGCTTCATACAACGCTTCCTTTCACACAGTTCAGGGTATGCGTGGGAATGTCTCTCTAACCTGTAATGATAACTAGGAGTCCCACAGGAAAGCGTCTCAAATGCGTCCCTGTTATAAGTGACTTTCTGTTGCACTTTGCATGTGGAAGGAAAGTCCACAGGATGAAGTTTACAGAATGTGCAAGAACATATGCGAACTGCAGTTAAGTTTCTACCGTGGACAGCAAACGAAGTTTCATATCAAACGGTTCGAAATCAGAGTTGTAAAAGCACTCGGTGTCTTTCAAGATTTTTTTCTCAATGATGGAAATCAGACCACAGAACTCTTTTGTATTTTTTACATTTATCAGGAGAGAAAAAGTAGGTCATGCATGTGAGGCACATTTATCAGCAACATTTATATTACTCAAATATATGATTGTTTTATCCACTGAAGTCTTCCGAATGCAGCTGAGGCTTTTGTATCTTCACCTTCTTTTCTGAGATTGAAGAATAGCTTCCATCTTTGATTACGAAATGCTGCTTCTACCGCAATGTACTGTAATGTACATACACAAAGTGAAATGAATAGCTAAATAGATAAACAGACGGATAAAAGGGTAGAAAATCGATAGATAGATGAACAGATTGATAGAAAAGAAGAAAAAATGGATAGAAGGACTGATAGAGAAGTAGAAAAATAGATAGATGGACTGATAGAAAAGAAGAAAAATAGATAGATGGACTGATAGACAGACAGATAGATAAATGAACTTATCCAGAAATGAAGGGCCAAATTGCTGTGTTCTCTGCTTACGGAATGTCAGTGTGTCAGTGACATTGAACGAGCGGATCAGAGAGCCAAGGCAACTGCTGTTCACACTCTCATTAACACGAAACCCGGATGTTCTTCACGTGGAATGAGAGGAACATTTCAGTGAGGATTCAGTGTTATTTCGTGAAGAATGATTTTAAACGTCTTGTCCTGTTCATTCGTTGGATAACTTTATTTGCAGAGAAGACGAATAATTTTGAAGAATCTTTAATGGAATAAACTATAAAAGTTACGGTGTGAAAATAAACCATTTATAAACTTTTTAAAGTGAAGAATTATTTTAAGCGTCTTACCCTGTTCATTCGATGAATAACTTTATTTGTAGAGAAGACGGATAATTTTGAAGAATCTTTAATGGAATAAACTATAAAAGTTACGGTGTGAAAATAAACCATTTATTTACTTTTTAAAATGAAAAATTATTTTAACTGTCTTATCCTATTAATTCGATGAATAACTTTATTTGTAGAAAAGACGGATAATTTTAAATAAATACTAATTGAATGAACTAATTAAGTTACTCTATGAAAATTACTTATAAACTTTTAAAAATCAAAATTGACGGATGTAGACTAAGCACTGAAGGAGGGAAAATGATAATAATAATAATAATTCACATATCAGAATACAACATATTAGTGC